AAAAAAAAAAAAAAAAAATCGTCTTGTTTTCGCTTATTGTTTTTTTCTGATGGGAAATTGCTTAATCCCAGTGGGATTTTTATCTCGTGTTTCTAAGGTTGCCATTGTATTCGCTGCCCGTTTGTATGGAAGTAATAAACTTCGCTGGTCAAATCAGTTCACTCCCTACTTCTCTTTTATTTCTCCAATTTACAGAACGCTAGAAATTTTAAACACTGTACTGGAGAGTCACGTAGCACAGATAAAACATAGCAAGTTGTAAGAGAAATGGCATATCTCGAAATCCTATTGCGAAGGTGTAGAAATAGATTATTTCCATTTTTGTAAGCCTAACTGGAAGAACTGAGTTACGATCGGTACGAACAGTAGAAGTCACGCAAATATGCTACCGTTTACTCTAAAATCACTTCGTACTAAACATTAAGCAGTTCTGTCGGTAATATAACAGTTGCCAAAGGGTTCCAAAAAAGACCTTTTCTAAACAACTTCAACAGTTTTGTGCGGGCTTCTGTGTCAAATTATTATTTTTATTGAGAACGTGGAAGAAAATAAACGCATATAAATCACCATGCGAAAAGAATATGTTGAGACGATCGTATCGACAACAAATTTTATTTACCCGTTATTTTTACCGTATTTATATATGAAGATCTAATTTGTAAATACATTGAAAGGACAGACTCCACGCCTACCCAACACCAGGACAAAAGAAAAATAAAGCATTATATACAGACTGGTACACACTCATATAGTTGTTCCGTAACAACGCCAAACTGTGTATCCCGATTAAGACAGTTGCCGCAAAACAAAATGACAATGACTCAAAAATATCGAAACCAACTGTGAATCAGAATGAAACCTCTAAAAGTTTACAGGTGAGAACTTGTTTCATTATCTCGCCTCTATACGTTAGAACATTAGGCTTAAAAAAGCGCGTAAGTGAAGTGACTAACTATAGGTGGCCAAAAAGAATACAGACAATATGGTCTTCAAAACTGGTACCATAAAACAGCAAAAACTTGACAGTTTTCGCAATGGAACTAACGTTAGGAAACTTGAAGACTAAAAACCCAAAACTGATTTAAAAAAAAAACAATTTACAGTTACATAAGTATCAAAAAACTGGAGGGAGGAAGAATCCTTGAAGATTTGAAAAGTGCCTTGCAAAACGAATAAAGCGTCGATATACGGAAGGCTTTTTCAGCAACGTAGCAGCCGCTGCTTTAATCTTAGCCCTATTCCTTCGCAGATATAGCTGAGCGTCCTGCCCCATTTGCACAAGCCTATGATATATCATAAGTAATATAAATCTCAAAAAAAGCAGGCATCAACATCGTCAAGGGTAACATGTTAGCAATCTAGTTCGTTATTTATGTTGTCTTTTAACACTTATAGAACATCTCAAGAATAAGAAATGGACAAAGCAAACAAAGGATTTGAAAGTGCTTTGCTCATACCAGATAAAAAAACACAACACATTAAATGAATTGCCTGGCAGGACTTAACATAACTCTGCTTTAGTAATTATAAAAATTTAACATTTTGGCTCTACTGAACAGGTACAGTCA